TTTCCTGGGGGCGCATGGTGAGATGGTCACGATGTATTCCTTAAGTTGAAATGACTTAATTTAAAAGATCATAATCGTAATCGACCTTTGAGGGTGGGGGGGGGGGTGGGATGATTAAAAATAAGATTTTTTTAAAAATATTATTTGGTGTTTTTTATTTTCATACAAAATAAAATATGACTAACTACATTATTTAAAAGTCAAATCTAATCATCATACAAATTATACTTTGAGTTTTAAAAAAAAAAAAATATTTGAATAGTTTCTAATTTTAATCGAATCATTTCTTTTCCATTTTTTTTAAAAACCTTAATCAGTCAACCTATTACGGAATAATATATATGTATTTATTTTTTGGTTAGATATCCATAAAAACGAAAGCCTGTATGTTTTAAAATAGTTTAATTTTTCATATAGTTTTATATTACTTTTCATTCTCTCAAATACAGTTGAAAATCAAGTTTTGTTCGGCTAAGTTTTAAAAAAAAAAATTGTAACTTTGAATTGTTTATATTGATATTATCTTTGATTGTTGTTTTTTTATCACTATGTGTCACACAATTGCACCGAAGCGTGCTGAGACCTCAAATTCTAGTCTGGTGACATTCAGAAAATATGTTAGACGTGAACTGTTGTGAACGCCAAAAGAGTTTGGTGCAATCAGCATAAATGGGGGCTCGTATTATGATCGTTGAATCTTTTGTTTACGTTCAACTTATACACTCGAGGAAGCTATGTTTACAATAAGCGTTCCACGAGAGCCTTTTTGTTTTGTGTGTGGGTAGAATAACTCCGTTTAGGCGCAGAACTAAAGGCCTGTGACATCTGTGACTTTGGTACTACTGAGCGGCACGAACTACTCTGTTGTCTTAGTACTACAAAAGGGACAGCAACAATGAACGTCAATTTTTCTTAGGCTTAAAACAGGGGCAACCACTCTGGTTGTCAAAGCTAACATCGTCTGGGACCCGGTCATTGATAAATAAATAAATTAGTAGTTCAGCGTAGCAACAAGACGGTCGTTGTTGTTGATGCTCAAGCAGCTGTTGTCATTGGTAATGAACGGGGTTTAAAAGTCAAAAGACCCCTGGCGAGATGTTCAGTTATCAGTATAGACGGACGGGATCGGCATCCACAAGATACAGGGAGTGTTGTGCTTGATCGTGGTGACTAAGTGATGACAATTTTCTGGTAACATTTGTGTGAGCAGAGAAAAAGGTTGAACAGACGCGTTACTGTTGAAGGCGATAGGGTAAAGCGTTCGATTACTTCCCATTTAAAAGGTCAGGAGTTGATCACTTGGCCAGTTTTCTCTCTCCACGTCACCGCCAGTGTCTGCCAGAATGACTGTAGAAATTGATTTGATCAACAGGGATCCCAACAACCTCAACGACCACGTCAAGGTAAGTGCTGACCGACGTACAAAAACGAAACAAAACTTTTTTTTTTTTTTTTTTTTTTTAATGAACCTGACACATCAGTCATCTATCCCCGTTATTAATGGCTAGCATCGTGTCTCTGTTTTAGTCTTACATTCACCAGTCTTCCTATGAGTTATAAGTCTTGATAACCTCGCAGCCAGATTTAAAGCAAAAACTTGAGTTGTTTTTAACTTTTTAAAAATGTCCTACTACGCTAAAAGCTAATCATGGATAAATTCAGATTATATGAGCATGACACTAATAATAATAATAATCTCAGAGCCAGAATGTTATGGCGGTGACCAAGTACTTTAATGCTTATGTGATTAAAGCTCTGTCGATTCTCATTTTCGCTACCGGTGCTTTTAGCTTTTCCATACGAGGGCTATAAAGTACACGGAGAGATAAATCAGTGCACACTGTACCACAGCATACTCAAATGTAGAGGTTTTCCTGGATTTAAAGAGCTGCATACCAGCGCATTGCTGATGTTGAGATTTGACGCCTGGTGCAGATGACGTTTGAGGCAATCTTGCATGTTAAACATAGACTTGAGGTGTAATACAGACGGACAGAACATGTATCACGCCCCGGTAGTAATACATGAAGGGTTGAAAGGGGTGTTAATAATATACCGGACTAGAGATTTAACGCCCAGGTGTAACCTTTTTAACCGGTTTATTATAAACTAATTTTTTTAAACCTTTTTGAATTTTATAAATTTTAGATTTTATACACAGCACAATTGATTGACATTTCAGGATAAAAATTTCTTTATATTTGGTGATGAAAAAGTGGTTAAAAATCAGCCTCACATGGTTTTCATTGATTTTATTTTTGAGATTTTGGTATTGGTAAAAAAAAATTGATTCTCAAATAACCGATATGGTTGATTATTCAAAATTTATTAATCGCAATTATGCAGTACAGAGTGTCAAACAACTCATATAAGTAAAAACAACTTCATGTTCCATCTATCACCAGGTCTTATTTGAAGAGGTCCTCGCCGAGCCAGATGGCGCCCACTCCATGGACTGCGTCTGGAAGAACTCCTACAAGTGTTTTGAGTGCTGTAAGGGCTGCTGCTACAAGATCTTGACGCTGATCTGCGGCATCCCCCTCGCTCTATGCTGGGGGTGCGAGTTCGCCTTCATCACCTTCTGGCACGTGTGGTACGTCACCCCATGCATGAGGGCCTACATGATCAACTGTGGATGTCTACAGAAGTTCTACGGCACTTGTCTGTCTTGTTACCTCCAGCCACTCTGCGAGGCGTTCAGCTACTGCTTCAGCAATATCAAGGTCACCAACTTGTCCGGATAGTACATCATTTCCGTTTCAGTTAGTTTCGAGCAAGGTTTATTTTCGAATGAAGATGGCACCTGTTACAGCGATCTTCTGTATTGACATGTACATCAAAAGTGTGGACAAAGATCTTTTGTATTGACATGTACATCAAAATTGTGCGCAATGGTTTAAATATGTTTTCTTACCTTGAAAAACTTTTGTACAGTGTTTGAAAAAAAAAAAGAAGTTTTTTTATAAAAAAATATAAAAACATCTCTTTTTGTATTTCTCTATTTATCTTTAAATTGAAAGCTCACTATTGTAGCCCTTTTTCATTACGAGCATACGGTAACCCTGATATAAAATTCATTACAGCCTAGCATAAATGAAAGTGTAAGGGATTAAAATGTTATAAATGAAATGGTAAAATAAATTATTTTTTTTTAAATCTAGAACATGCGTTTGCTAAATAATTATTGGTCGAAGTCAAATGAATCGAAATTTTGAAGAAGAAAAAAGACAGACCCAAACAGTCTAGATCCCCAATAAAAGTAAAATATAGTTTTAAATATATCTTAAATAATTGTATACATTCATTAAATGAAGCGCACATTTAAGCCTGATAAAGTTTGTGCTTAGGGACTCGGAATAATGTTGTTGTTGAACATGTTAAAATAACTTACCGGTAACTGCAAGTTGGTGTTATCAATCTTTTTTTTAAACTTAAGGCCCACAGAGCACTATAGACGTCTATGACGTGTATAGACATTTTAACATTTACAAAATGAAAAAAAAAATGTTATAGGTAAAATATTTCATTTTTTATTATCACGTACAGAGGCTTAGAGTAATATATATATATCACCCCATATCAATAATACGTAAATAGGTTGTTTTTTTTTAAAAACCATAACACTATTTTCTTTCATCCTCATGAGTCACTTGGCAATCTAGTGTGGCAGCATCTATCATGGCAATCTAGTGTGGCAGCATCTATCATGGCAATCTAGTGTGGCAGCATCTATCATGGCAATCTAGTGTGGCAGCATCTATCATGGCAATCTAGTGTGGCAGCATCTATCATCATTCTCAATAAAAACAACTCAGGCTCTATTCCACAAGCTATTAAATAAGTCAAGCTCAACTTCAAACCAACAACAGCCACCACATTAAACACTGCCACAGGCACCACATTAAACACTGCCAGAGGCACCACATTAAACACTGCCACAGGCACCACATTAAACACTGCCACAGCCACCACATTAAACACTGCCTCAGGCACCACATTAAACACTTCAGTCGTTAGTTCCATTGAAATTCCGTATGCACTTCAACAGCCCAACTCACACTAGAACCGTCGCATGACTTTTAGAGGCCAACTACTTTGAGGTTTTTGGACCCAGTTTCGTTTTCCATAACAGTATTATTAATTTATTCACAATAACATATTTTCTCTATCTATCACCAAAAAAGTTGTTTGTTATTTATTTTAGACGATATAAAATTAAAATAATAATGATTTTAATAATAGCAAAAGTTATAAATAAATATTTAAAGCAGTTTTATTCGAAACTAAAATAGGTCTGCATAAAAAACGAAGAATGAAATTCAGCGTTGTATATTATTTTATTTCTTTTTAAATTTAAATACAACCAGAAATTTTTAAAAAGTGTTAAAGCGGTTATGTAATATTCTTGCGAAGTTTCAAATCGTTCAAAGTGTGACTTCTCTGTGTCTTGGTGTTGTGTGACATGTTAAACTTATTGCATTGTGCCTTGAAATAAAGAAAATATTGACCTAATCTGAACTTCAGATATTCATTTGAAATCTCATTTTTTGTATAGAATGTTCATTTCCATCGGTGAAAATTGTCATAATGACGTCTGGTATCTTTCCAAAACAACATAATAAACTAATTTATAATCTAATTTTAGTACCGTATTTCATACACTGTTTTATTTAGATACGTTTGTCTAGCTCAGGCTTTCTTAACCTGTCTTGCCGACCTATCTTGCCTGTCAGATGAAGGCCAGGTACTACTTCATAATCATAAAGTAGTTACATGCATAGAAAAACATAACAAAGGAAATGCAGCTTAGCCTGTTTGCTTGTCCATTTTAGCCCGTGCAGCCTGCACCTGGGACTAACTCACCCGTAGGACCAGGTTACTCACGTGTTCAGATGCTGGTTGACTCAACCTGTAGGAAACAGTACTGACGGCCAACGCTAGGGTGTCTCTGGACATTACTTCTTAAACATGACAACCTGTCAACCTGTAGGAAACAGTACTGGTGGCCAACGCTAGGGTGTCTCTGGACATTACTTCTTAAACATGACAACCTGTCAACCTGTAGGAAACAGTACTGGTGACCAACGCTAGGGTGTCTCTGGACATTACTTCTTAAACATGACAACCTGTCAACCTGTAGGAAACAGTACTGGTGGCCAACGCTAGGGTGTCTCTGGACATTACTTCTTAAACATGACAACCTGTCAACCTGTAGGAAACAGTACTGGTGGCCAACGCTAGGGTGTCTCTGGACATTACTTCTTAAACATGACAACCTGTCAACCTGTAGGAAACAGTACTGGTGACCAACGCTAGGGTGTCTCTGGACATTACTTCTTAAACATGACAACCTGTCAACCTGTAGGAAACAGTACTGGTGGCCAACGCTAGGGTGTCTCTGGACATTACTTCTTAAACATGACAACCTGTCAACCTGTAGGAAACAGTACTGGTGACCAACGCTAGGGTGTCTCTGGACATTACTTCTTAAACATGACAACCTGTCAACCTGTAGGAAACAGTACTGGTGGCCAACGCTAGGGTGTCTCTGGACATTACTTCTTAAACATGACAACCTGTCAACCTGTAGGAAACAGTACTGGTGACCAACGCTAGGGTGTCTCTGGACATTACTTCTTAAACATGACAACCTGTCAACCTGTAGGAAACAGTACTGGTGGCCAACGCTAGGGTGTCTCTGGACATTACTTCTTAAACATGACAACCTGTCAACCTGTAGGAAACAGTACTGGTGGCCAACGCTAGGGTGTCTCTGGACATTACTTCTTAAACATGACAACCTGTCAACCTGTAGGAAACAGTACTGGTGGCCAACGCTAGGGTGTCTCTGGACATTACTTCTTAAACATGACAACCTGTCAACCTGTAGGAAACAGTACTGGTGGCCAACGCTAGGGTGTCTCTGGACATTACTTCTTAAACATGACAACCTGTCAACCTGTAGGAAACAGTACTGGTGGCCAACGCTAGGGTGTCTCTGGACATTACTTCTTAAACATGACAACCTGTCAACCTGTAGGAAACAGTACTGGTGGCCAACGCTAGGGTGTCTCTGGACATTACTTCTTAAACATGACAACCTGTCAACCTGTAGGAAACAGTACTGGTGGCCAACGCTAGGGTGTCTCTGGACATTACTTCTTAAACATGACAACCTGTCAACCTGTAGGAAACAGTACTGGTGGCCAACGCTAGGGTGTCTCTGGACATTACTTCTTAAACATGACAACCTGTCAACCTGTAGGAAACAGTACTGGTGGCCAACGCTAGGGTGTCTCTGGACATTACTTCTTAAACATGACAACCTGTCAACCTGTAGGAAACAGTACTGGTGGCCAACGCTAGGGTGTCTCTGGACATTACTTCTTAAACATGACAACCTGTCAACCTGTAGGAAACAGTACTGGTGGCCAACGCTAGGGTGTCTCTGGACATTACTTCTTAAACATGACAACCTGTCAACCTGTAGGAAACAGTACTGGTGGCCAACGCTAGGGTGTCTCTGGACATTACTTCTTAAACATGACAACCTGTCAACCTGTAGGAAACAGTACTGGTGGCCAACGCTAGGGTGTCTCTGGACATTACTTCTTAAACATGACAACCTGTCAACCTGTAGGAAACAGTACTGGTGGCCAACGCTAGGGTGTCTCTGGACATTACTTCTTAAACATGACAACCTGTCAACCTGTAGGAAACAGTACTGGTG